TTTTTTCGATAAGCTTTAATCTAATTTTTACTCCTAAAATCAATTCTAAATTTAATCAATCTTCCTTAAAATTGAGATATAAACTTCGAATGATATTTTCAACTGTTTGCAAGAACAACTGATCTAAACAAATCTCAAATTTGTAAAATTCAAATAATGAATTCAAAGTTTGAAGTTTTTTAATGACTATCAAAGGTGAATTTATGCTATTGTAATTTTAGAGATTTTGAATGCGTGCTTGTGCACACGATTTTGTATAAATTTTGGGATTTTGTATTCTACTCGTTGTTGTTTTTTTAGGTGAAAATCATGAAACATGGGTGAAAATCGATTTGAAGATAAAAATATTTAAAAATAGTTTTTCAGATGAAAATTGTGAAGAGGAAGAAGATGAAGAGAAATCATGATTGTAAGAGAAAAAAATTGCAGCGAAGGAGAAGAAGACATTGGATAAACAGAGACAAAGAAAAAGAGAATCGCTTAATATTAAGGAATTGTTATATTTAGTTACAAAATTTCTATTGTTATAAATGGTAAATATTTTCTTAATATAGGATACCTAGGTGATTTACCCTAGTATGTACTGCTGTACATATTGTGTATGTATTGGTGGGTATGGGTTGTTGGTATAGAATTGGGTTATGTTTGCTAGAAAATTGTATTGGGCTGCTACAAAGTGACCCAAACAATGGTCTTAAAATGGGTTTGAATAAAATGTTAGATTTTGGTTAAGATAATAATAGGAACTAATTAACAATTTAGCAAATGGATTAAAAAGGTGGCCAAATGAATTAATTTTAGAAGATGGCTAGAATTTAAATAGGACAAATTAACATAATTAATTTATGAGCTTTTTAATCTTAACGAGATAAAATAATTAACTTAATTATAAACTAATCGATTTTCAATAAACTAATTAATTCAAAATTAAAGCTATAATTCAAACTAAAACTAAATTAATAAAATATTTATTTTAACGAAGCAAAAATCTTTTGATATCATTTTCAAACATTTATAAAATATACTAATTACTTATATAATTATATGAAATATATTTATTATTCAAATACTATGGAAATCGATAGAAATTATTTACACTAACCTTGAAATTATTTGAATTTGACATAGCAAATTATTTTAAATCGCTTGAATATTAGGAAGCTCAGAAATCAATTATTATCGGGGAGGATCAAAATTGGGTGTCAACATACACATAAATCTATTTTTTTCATAATGAGTTTATCTCGCAAGTATAAGATTTGTGCACACTAAGCATTATAAATCCATTCAATTCATACTTTTTTTAGAACCCTTCTTATCTTGGCTTACCGGATTCAAGCTCGAATAAAGGAGGAGTCGCAATATGTATCCTCATAATACAAATGTTAGTGAGACGTGATCACCTCGTAATGCTAACTTTGGAAATATAAGAGCAACATAAATAACTAGTAGAGTCTAGAATTTTTCTAATTACCATAATGACATAGCCAACTAAAACACATTTCAATGCCAAAATAGAGTTTTGGCTCAAAATCCACATTTTAAGAAACTCAGTTAATAGGTATAAATAATGTATCTCAAACCCATAAAACAAAAAAAGAGATATAGTTCAGAACTCGTACAACTTAAAATTTCAAATCCGCCTCTGACGCCCTGCATTTGATTATTTTGGGACGAAACTCTATTCCTTCCACAATGAGGCCACTTTTGATACTACTACGTTTCATCTCAAACAATCTTGCTTCGACAGGACCATCACTACCTTCCTTGCTATTGAAATGTCCCAGTTCTACTTCCATCCATCCATCTCCTCTCAGTTTTGCCGATGTCACAAGTTTCAAAGTGTTGGCTTGTTCTTCAGTCTCAGTATCACTCTCATATTTAACAAACCTAATAATTGAATTAGCATATTCAAGTTCACAGGACCTTCTTCCCAATTTGAACACCAAATAAGCAGCATAATCTGTCTTTGGTGACAACATTTTTGTTCCTATTTTTCCACGAATGTCCAACTGAAGTACAGCGTGAAGATATGCCACTTTCGAGAATCTGCAAAAGTATTGCAAGAAGCATTTGTAAGGTTAATTTTATAATTTTTTTTAATGATATGTAGGGTGTATCTCCTTTGTAGGTTTACCAGATGCGAAGTTAAATTAATGAGATTTGGGTATCAGATGGTTGAACTAAAAAGATTTATAAATTATCTGTGAAATTTAACATGTTATAGCAGATTTATCCTTTTACGATCAAAATATTTATAGGAACCTTGAATTGTCCGAGATTGCACCGTATAAAGGTGACCTTCCAATACTTCTTCGGCTGATCCTAATTAATTAGCATTAAATAATTTTCAAGGTGTGAGCAACCAATTGTGCTCATAACTTGAAAATTATTAATGCTAATTAAGGACCATTCGGAGAAGTATTGGAGAGAGGTGATTTAGATAGGACATGACTGATCAACTTTGACATGCCCTTAGATAGGAAGGTGTGGAGAATGCGTACTAGGGTAGAAGTTTAGTAGGTAGTGAAGTGTTGTCGTGTTTTCCGAGAGTTTCGGCTTGTTGGTGTTTTGTCGTTGTACTAGTTGTAGTATTATAGTTCTTGATTGTGATATCTATCATTTTATGTTGTTTATTGTGTTTTGGTTATTGCTCTATTTTATTGTTCTTAGTCCTTTCTTATAGGATTTTGCATTGCCCCCACCCCCACCCCCCTTGTTATAAGTAGCTATATCTTTTTCCATTGTTTTCTTCTTCCTTGTACTTACATTTGTTGCACTTGAGTTGAGGGTCTTTCGAAAATAACATCTCTACCTCCACAAGGTAGTGATAAGGATTGCGTACACTCTACCCTCCCCAGACTCCACTTGTGGAATTTCACCGGATATGTTGTTATTGTTATAAGGAAAAGCTTTGGTCTCAAAACTCTTTAAACTCAATTTTTTCTTTTGCACTCCCTCTTTTCTTGAGTACACTTCACTCTCAATTCTTTCTTGAGCACACACTCTTTATTTGAGTACACATACAACTCAAATGACCACCTCAATCTATCGGTGTTGATGGAAGGATCTAGTGAATGCAATATTCTAGAACTACACCTTCCACTTCTTTCTCGAATTCTTTTAGACTTTGCACTCTAGAACTCTCATCCTAAAGTTCTTCTTTCAATACAAGTCTTGAATATTCTAGATTCTTCTTTGAAATATCTTAGATATTAATTAAGATGGTGATGACCTTTTAACACCCCTCTCAATACCAACTTAATTTATTCTTTGCAACCATTTTGAGTGATTCTCGAGACATTGCAATCTCAGGATGACATGCTACTCAAATCTAATCCGGCAATCAAGCCACTCATGGTCACATTGAACACCTCGGCTCATGAGGTCCCTTCCCAATCTTTGGAGTCACTTGGTTAATATCAAGGTGATCAATCTGGACATCTACTATTGTCAACAGGGAATGGAGACGATTTGGTTACTTTAGATGGACAATCAATCTTTTTTAATTCATGCATTTGTCAAAGGAAGTTTGAGGCCGATAACTCAACCTTCTTAATTCTTGGTTGTTATATTTTAACATTATTTAAGCATCCTCATTTGTAATATCATCATCGTGTGTATTACAAATTCTGTGGTAATCACAAAATCCTAGTTTTTTCTAGCTTTTATTTTCTTCATACTTGTTAGTTAGTAGAGGTATGTTACCTCATTATGACTGGTAAGGTAAGGTTCAACTTCCTTTGCTTGTACTTATCCCTACAGAGGTTTTTTTTTTTTTAATAGAAGGCCGCTAAAAATAATAATTTCAAGAAATCTATTTTATACGGTATCAAATTAAAGTACGTACGTTGCATAAAACATTTATAAGAAAGAGGAATAAAGTACGTTGTAGATCAAATTAAGGAAATGATAAGAGATAAACCTGGAATCGTGGTGTTTCTTCCATTGCCAAGAGTGTATGTCAACACTCCCCAAAATTTCAAGCTTTCTTGCTGCTATCATAAAACATTTTTTCCCACTGTGCTTATCGATAAAAAAACTCTGAAAGAAAAAAAACATTAAACAATAAAAAAATGTATAGTATTGTATTTATAATCTAATTATTAATCCAAATTCACATCAATTAAGGAACTTATAATTTTATAAAGAAAAGTTACATACATGATAGAGTTATTATAGATAAATGTAGGAGAAAAAATAAAAAAAGATTATAAAGTAATGAACAAAATCAAAATAAGAAAATAAAAATATCGTAATGACATGGCCATATCAAATTGATCATTACATAAAATGATACTTTCATCGTTATATAATGATGAATTTATTGATAAGATACAATAAAAATTAAATAATTAACAATTCAAATAAACGTTGTGTTTAAAATAACAATATAATACAATACGATAGCTCATAACAACCCAAAGGCATATAGTTCAATTTTTTGAATAACTTAAACTTGGTGAGTGAAACAGAATAAAACATGATTCTTTTGATCTTTCTAGTTTCATTAACTATGAAAAAATTAAAAGATATTAGATATAAAATTTTAATAAAGATAAAAACACTGGGTGGTCATTTCTTCTACCTGCTTGAGCTGTAGAGTTACTTGGTATACTAGTCGAGATAAATGACGTAAAAAAGTTTAATTGAATCTCCTTTACTCGCAATTACACCAATACAAACAAGGTGAAATTATTTTTTTAAAGAAAATTATATATGAATCGTTGAATCTAAAATTCTAGTTTAGCAACAGAGGGGTTTCAAAGGTTGTTTTAGAGTACGAGTTTAAATTTTAAGTGTGACACTCAATATTCTTTTTAATATTCTTATTTGAATTTCTAACTACACCATTATATTGTTTAATACTTGTGTTAGTGAGAGGCTAAAGTAGATGTAGAATATTAATACCACTTTCATATGAATCCTGTACTTTCATATATAGCGGAACATAAATTTATGTGCAAAAATTCATGATAAATCCAATAGATAGTAGATATGAATCACAACTTTAAAGAATATAATGATTTAAATGTTAATTAAATAAAAAATTGAATCCATAAATCTTAAATTCTGATTTTGCCTCTGATGATAGGTACCAAATACGTACCTAATAAATAATTTAGGTTCACACAAACTAGCACATATATCACCATTACAAAAAATAAAATGAATCATAAAAGGTAATTAACCACATCAAAATGAAATTTTACCAGTCTGCCGCTATCAAGGAGGATGGGAGAATCACATAGACTAAAAAAGAGCTCTTTTTTGGTGTTGCAAATCAAAGGAAGCTTAGATCTATCAATTATTTTTTGGTAATCGGAAGGCAAAAATCTTCCCCAAATTTCATCGGATTTTGCAACAAATTTGAATCCTGTTGATAAAATTGTTGATCTTACTGCATCTGCTGGAGTTGTTCTTGAAATTATTTCAAAGATGCAACCTTCTGGCAACTTTTCAAAATAATTCATTGGAGCTATGGACTTAGAAATATTCATGTCAAAATTCTTATAAAACTTTATAACCGAGAAATAACCTAAGTTTTTTTGTTACAAGCTTTATATATGATTAAATAATCAAAAGATAAAAAAGATTTCAGAGGTCTATACATTGTCAAATATAGTAATAAGTACAAATAAGCATATAAAATTATGTTTTTTTTTCCTTTTTTGTCAATGAGTACAGATAAGCAAAAAGTCAAACTTATTCAAATAACAATAACCATTGCCACACCTTAATCTCAAACAAGTTTCACGTTGCTTCAATTAAGTGAATCGAGACTAATATTATATTATATAAAATAAAAATAACATGCACGAGAAGATCTCTATTTAATTTGGCGTGAAATGTTATCTAAAGTCTCAAATAATTGGTATTGCTTATATGAAAGTAAAAAAACTTCCATTGTGTGCCATACTTTCGAGACAACTCCTTTGTGATTTTAGGTCTACTTCGTCTCATTTTAACACCTTCACACTATGATTTCATAGTGTAACAACTTAATTAATTTCTTATTTAACCATGATAAATTAGTACGATACAGTGTAAACATCGGATGCAAATAAATTGTTATCCAATAGAGGTCACATGACCAAACCATCTCATTTGTTTTATTTTTATTATGTGCTCGATTTATTGTTAGCTATTTCATCATCGATTCCAATAGTATTTAGATCTTTCGAAAAGCAAATAGCCATAAAACATTATTGTTTATATATCAAGAAAACACATAAGCTATATTATAGTATTGTGCATTTTCTTCTTCATTCTGGTCTAAATTCAATTCCTTGAACAATAAGGCCACCTTTTCCATGAAGCCGCGTAATCTCCATCAATCGCGCTTCAACATCTCCATCATCTCCTGTATCATTGATAAAATTTCCCAATTCTATTTCCATCCATCCATCGACTCTTTTTCGTGGACGTTTCACGTTACGTTTGCGTCTCCTAACCCTTTTTCCGACTAGACTCACGACACTAGCTCGTTCCTCGGCCTCTTTATCGCTCACACGATTCACAAATCTAACAAATGCATTAGCAATTTCTAGTCCATCATGATCCTTTGCCAATTTGAACACCAAATAAACAACATACTTGGTTCTTTTCGACAATATTTGTGTTCCAATAGTACCTCGTATGTCTTGCCAACTTACACCCTTGAGATGTGCCACTTCCGAAAATCTACAAAATAAAATGTATATATAGTCTCAGATACATGTATTTAGTGAGTTTAAGATATATATATATATATCATCGCCAATATAAGTAATTTTTGCACCATTAAATCATCTTTTACCTATTGTAATAGGTAACATATTTTAACGAGGCTCATCTATGGTGACCTGATTGTGTAAAAAAATTCTTTTTTACCAATAGTGACAGAGGTAGAATTTCAACCAAGGGATTCAAAAAACATATGTAGAAATTCGTTAAAAGGCATTGAAGTATAATTTTTTATACGTAGTACATACATATAAAAGAAGAATAACTTTTTATACGAAGTATAATTTTTCGACGAACCTGGAGTCTGGATGAGAAATCCATTCCCAATACCATGGTGTATCAACTCCCCATGAAATAGCAAGTTCTCTAGCTGATATCATAAAACATTTCTTGCCTGTTTTCTTATCAAGTGAAAAGCTCTGTTTTCAAAAATAAAATAAAATCTTAGATTCACACTACTAGCTTATAGTCCATTCAAAAATAAAATAAAATGGTCAATTATTAATATAATCTATTTAATTTTGCATTTTTAATGGTGTTTGTAACCCATTGGCCGGAAAATCTTAGAAGTTCATTTAGTTGAATATCTGAACTTTCGTTTTACTACAGATAGTTCGATTCCCAATTTTTAACAAAAACAAAAAAAAATAAGAAAAATCCATTGGTTGATTAATTAAGATTTGCGCAGCAGTAAGCACACTAGTGGATTTTAGCGCTTCCTATTGAACACGACTCAATTCCTAGATTTCAACTGTGATTAAAACTCAAACTCGAGACCTCAGGTCAAAGGTTCATGATCTTTTTTTTTGGTTTCCCACCCGGTGTCCGGATCCCACATTGGAGCTCCGACTAAATCTAGATCGCACTCTGCAGGACCCATTCGGAGGTGGTGCTCCCAGCAGGATTTTCTCCATACTCAGGGCTTGAACCTGAGACCTTTAGATAAGGGTGAGGCACTCCCACTAGTGCACCACAACCCATGTTGGTGGTTCATGACCTTTATCCTTATACAACACCAACAATCAGGGGTGGAGCTAGAACACCCCTATAATTTCTAGGAACCCAATACTTTTAGTTCAAATTCTATATTTATCTTTAAAAAACCCCTCTAATATGCACTAAATTATTAATTTCGAACCAAACAACTCAAAAAACACACAAAAAAATCCCGAATCCATTAGCTTCAACGCAATTATACATATATTAAACTTAAATGAGCCAAAAAAAACTTACTACTTACCAATTTGCCTCCATCCATTAGAACAGGGAAGTCACATAGACTAAAGTAAAGCTCCTTTTTAGACGGATAAATCCGCGGGGAGACATATCTCGAGATAATATCTTCATAATCATCTGGTAAAAACTTTACCCAAATAAAGTCAGATTCAGCAGCAGAGTTGAATCCCCGAGAGATCGCGGATGAAATCACGACGTCTTTCGGGGAAGTAAAGGAGAGAATATCACAAACACAACCTTCTGGTAGCAATAGGAAATAGTCCATTATTGGAAATTTGAAAATTTGTGAAAAAAAATTTGTTTATATAAAGCAAACTGAGAAAAGTTTGTTGGAGAGTTGTTACAAAATCATTTTTGTTTATTTTTCATTATTTTTATCTAGTTTTCTCACATATGTATATTTTATTTCCAAAAAAATAAATTAAAGAACTGATATTGCTTAGATACACCAAACAAACAACTCATGTGGAGGAAGATATTCCACTAACATAAAACATGAAATGTTTTGAGTTTAAAACTTTTTGTTTTTCCTTTTTTTTTGTGAAGTGAAACATGAAATGTATAGGAAGATTCATCATTGGATATTCGAAATTTACTGGCCCGACTAATTAATCAAGATTAGCATCATCTAAGGTCCATTTATCAAGGAGTGTTCCCGACCAAGAATTTCTCCATTCTCCGAATTCAAACCAAAGACTTCTTGTTTAGTTAAACACAAGAGAAATCTCATTCATCGCACCACAACGTAGTTCCCAAAAAGCAGTATTCACAAATTCTTACATTCATCATTTCATTAATTTCTTATAGTTATAAAACTATAACAACAACATACCATGTGTCTCCCCCACAAAGTGGAGCCTGGGAAGGGCAGAGTGTACGCAAACTTTACTCTTACCTCAGAGGTACAAAGTCTTTTTCCGATAGATCCTCGACTCGAGAAAAATAATCCAAAGCAGTTCAGAAAAAGACACAACAAAAGTACAAGAAACAACAGATAGTAACAGAACAGTACTTCAACATTAACAAATTACTATCTCTTACACAGAAAAATGCGCTTGGAATTCATAAGGAATAATAATAATAACAGAACATACACTTGTTCAAGTGGAAATCTATATACAGTACTTTCAAAATCAATCTCTCACTCGTACTTGAGCTTGAGAAAAATTCTTTATACTAACCGCGTCTTCCCCATTTCACGAGCAGTGGAGAGAACGTTTCACACGTTGTCTTTACTACTTTCCTCACACATCTTCAGCAGGTAACGCCTTTTTATCTCGTTTGGAAGTTGAATGCCTTAATAGCGAAAGCAAATGTGAAGCCAAAAAGAACAGTGTACCCAACAATCGCGACTGCAACTATTGGAAGAAAATCATGCTTGAAGCCGAAGTAACGTCTCAAGAATTGTTCCACTGTTTCTTCATCAGTAAGTTTGTTCTGAAGATCTCCAAATTGTGATGCAACCAAACCATACAAGGTCCAGGCAACAGGACAACACCAGTAGTACCATCTCCACCATATGGGAATACGCTGTTTTTTAAAAATTAAAATGGAAAAAAATACAGAGAACATATCATTTCCGAGCTCTAAGTCAGTTTTGATGTAACAACAAAATGGAAGTGTTTCAAGAACATACAGTTCGTGGAACGATGAATCCTGAGAAAAGATTCCATACTCCGTAGAAGAAGGAGCCGACAATTTGAGCAACACTTACATTTGGGGTAACAGCAACGGTCATCATACCGTAGAAAGTGAAGTACAAGAGGGTGAAAAACAGGAAGAACAAGTACCACAAGAACTTTGCTACCGTCCATTCAAATCCGATCATAGCATACATAATTGCACCACAGAAAACAGATTGCATAAAGACATATGGGATTTCAATGGAAATCTGCAAGATAGAAAAAGTTAAGTAGCATACAAGCATCCCATTGCGTTAAATGTGACGATTTGTAGTGGGAAAATCTCAGTGATTAAATGTGAAATTAACGCGAGATTGGCTTATAAGAAATTGAACTCTATGTTCACCTGTCCAAAGGCATAGGGCAAGGCAGAATACATTCCAGCAGCTCTTTCTCTATAGAATACTGTACGTTCAACGGCTACAACAGGCTGTACTGATGATGAATTTTGTGTACCCAGGAAGAGAACAGTAGCATACAAGCATCCCATTGCGTTAAATAGATCTTGACTCTTACTCCTGTAACCATAAAAGATCAAGTTTTAGTGTTAGTTGAGGGTATTTTTAGTTTGTGTGATTGTTGTTTTTTGCTTCATAGTTTTGGACTAACACTTTACCACCAATATCCCAAAACATTGTCCCGAAGACCAAGGCAATGATGGTTGTAAACAGAAATCTGACTGCCGTATAAGTAGGATTACGCCAGTATGACCAGTGTTGTTTCCAAAGGCAAGCTATACATTGGGTCCAAAATGGCTGTGAGTATTTAGTATCGAAATGCAGATCTTTTGTACCAGGGCGAGGTACGCTCAGTTCACTAATCAATGATTTGTTCCTTGTGTAAAGGTCTGATTTCTTGTATAAATCAGTAAAATCAACCCCGAACAGTATTTCCTGAGCCGAGGCTGTGACTTCTAACATCCAAGTTGCTGGATTGTAGCCATCTTTTATTTTACTTACCCCTGGCATGGACTGAAGACAAGGGAACTCAGCTTAGTATTTGATCGTATGGACTCGAAAAAGGAAAGCTCTCTTTCACTTAGACAACTTACCTCAAAGTATTTGATCAAATGGCAAGAATGGCAACCCAATGGACCAACATATATCTCTTGTCCTCCTCGTTTCATTAGAAAGAGCTGCAAAGTGGTTTTTAATATCAGTATTCGATGACAAAAGTCTTGGAAAAACAGAGAATAGCTTGATTGAGTTCAAAAATATCAAATTCACCTCATCAAAGGTTTCAAAAATGTCAATACTAGGCTGATGGATGGTACAAACAACGGTTCTTCCTGTGTCGACAGTGTTCCTAACAGTTCTCATAACAATTGCAGCAGCCCTTGCATCCAGCCCGGAAGTTGGTTCATCCATGAAAATGATAGAGGGGTTAGCCACTAGCTCCACTGCAATGGTCAACCTTTTGCGTTGTTCAGTTGAGAGACCGTTGATCCCTGGCAAACCAACTAAAGCTGATCTTAACGGTCCAAGCTCCACAAGATCCATGACTTGCTCAACAAACATCTGCACCGACGATAAATAAATAGGAAATTTTTACATGAACTCAAACTTCTTTATAGGATGTAATTGATCTTTCAGTGAAATTCATGTCATGGAAGAAAATTATTCATAAGAACCAACCTTTCGGGTCTTTGTATCAACATTATGAGGTAAACGCAGCCAAGCTGAGTATACTAATGACTCATAAACTGTAACATAAGGTGAATGGATGTCATTCTGCTCACAGTATCCAGATATACGTGCAAATGTGTCCTGCTTCTTAGGATAGCCCGAAATCTTGATGTCACCCTCGATATATCCTCCTGTCTTTCTTCCAGCCAATACATCCATCAATGTTGTTTTTCCAGCCCCACTTACTCCCATCAAAGCTGTCAAAACACCAGGCCTGAAAGCTCCACTTACGCCCTTAAGAAGTACCAATCTATCGTCAGTAGCTCCCTGATCTTTCATTTCCTGCAAGTATGTGAAAGTTTAGTAACATATTTGGAAATGGAGGATTAGCATTGCTAGTTTGATCAATAACATTTCCTGGCTAGTTAGTTAGTTACCTGAGGCATGTTGACAGAGTACATTACGTTGTCAAAGGTGATGGAATGCGGTTCAAATGGAAGAAACATTCCTTTTTTCTTATTCTGACTCTCACTATTGGAGTCTTCTGTCTCCGCGCTAGTTGTTTGTGCATCTTCACTGTCTTCTGGTATCATAGCTTGCGGCTTACCAAATGCTGTAGATATTCATACTAAACATTTAACATTTTTTGCCTTTTTCGGAAATATAAATGGAGAAATTTGAGAGATACTCACGTTTTAGGTAAGCGAGTGCAATGGTGTAGCAGATGTTAAACACGATTGTGAATCCAACAAGCGCGCCAAAGCCTATCCAGTACCACGATGCATCTGGGAAGAAGCCTCGACCTCTTACAACTGCAGCTCCAAGTGACTCAGTTCCATTTGGTGGAATCTGGTTAGGATTACAGTGAGCTTCAGCATTTATATAAGGAAACTAATTATTTGCACATTGCAGTAGATAGAGAAACTTACATGTTTCCACCTTTTTCCGTCAAATTCGTTCACAAGAATTGCATTCACGGAATACATCATAGGTGAAGTCCAGTAACCCCATATCCACCAGTTCTTCACATCATCTGCAGCATTAGGCAAAGCGGATAAGTAACAATTTAATGTTAGTCTGTTTAAGCAAAGCAAGAGCTACTGCAGACATATAAATGTTCAAATATACCTCGTGAAAGAACGAATCCTCCCAACGCAAATTGTAAAAGCAGAGCAAATGATCCAAATATACTAGCAACTCCTAAGCTCCTGCCAACTGCCCCAATGAATCGAAACAACCCTGAGGCCATCTGGCTTACTATTATGAGTAGCAAGAACTGTTTGAACAACCTGCAAATTCAAAATCCCGATTAGTAATCATGGGGAAAAGGAAATAGTTGAAGGTAAACTCACCTCTTTTCACGTTATCATGTACCTTGAGGGGTGCGGATCGAATCCCATGACATAGTAAGTGAGAAACACCCAGAGAGCAGTTTCAACAAATGTTACAGGGATTTTGAGTATCCATGAGGGAATTGCATAAGCCCATGCAGGGAAAAAGAGAAGGTCCCTTTGCTTGAAGAAGACGGGAAGTTTATAAATTATCATCCCGAGCTCAGACATTCCATTAAACATATTCATAATGATCACAAAAAAGAGAGCACCAGCATATATTCCTCCATCATCCATAGTATCATGTTTCATCTCAGTTCGGAAAAAGATGGTCATCGAGATGAGTGCCATAATCAAAAGCTGCAAACAGATCAAACTTAGTATTTGCAAGAAAATATGATGAGACTTGAAGAAGTTCAATATTTATAATAGACTAAGTAGTTCACCTGACAGAACTTGAAAATGTAAACGAACGAGTTCCTCTTCATTAGCAAGTATTCTCTTTCCTTGCAGACTTCGAAGAGCTGTTTCTTCCCTATACCGTACTTTTCAGTTGTCAGAGCAGCAGGATGGCTTTTTCTCTTGTCATATGAGACTGCAAGATCTTCCCCGAGTTTCCTCCCAACATGAAATGCTTGATATGCCTCGGAAAATTCTTTCGATGTGATAAACCTGTAAGGCTCATCCCTCCTCACCCAATATTGTTGTTGATCCTTCTTAGATGTCACCTGGAAGAAGTTCAAATCTTCACTATTAGAACAAAAATGCATCATTGCCTGTCAACTATAACAGTCGGGAGCTCATTACAAGACATACTTCTTGCAAAAAGTCAGCCACGCCTTTTCTTTCAGGGCATTTGAAACCCATGGATTCAAAGAAGCCAATGATGTCTTCTCGAGGGCCCTGATAGACAATTACACTATCTGATAACAGAATAATGTCATCAAACAAATTGTAGGTCTCGGGCGCTGGCTGTAAGAGAGATATCACAGCAGTTCCCTTCAAGATTTGCACAGTTTGTCTTAGAGAGTTCACGATGGAATAAGTGGTCGAACTATCCAATCCAGTAGAGATTTCATCCATGAAAAGTGCCTTTGATGGTCCAACAAGCATTTCACCTGTCGTCACACGCTTCTTTTGCCCTCCTGAAATACCCCTTACCATTTCATCTCCCACCATAGTATCAGCACAAATGTCAAGTCCCAAAATCTACACATAACATTCAAAAATAACTTAATTCACTAAATCTCTCGGCCTTTTCATTGTCAAGATAATCGAGAAATCATTGAACGTAATCAACGTTACCTTAAGAACATAATCAGTCACAACATTAGCTTCTTGTCCCTCTGTTGCTGCTGCCTACATTGTCATCAAACAATGAAGGTCATAAACATTATTGTTTTTTCCCTTTTGCTATTCCGATAAGATTCTTTTTTCTTAATCAGATGTTATTTTATTAAGATCCTATATTATTTGATAACAAGAATTCAGTCTCATCAATACAAGTAGTTGTGAAGAATATTTTAATAATTCAACACAAAAACATTATTACCTTCATAAAAACATCAATATCAGGATCTGGCTTGATATTTGCTGTTTTCTCTCTTCTTGACAGTTCAGCCAACATTTCTACAATATTTTTCAAGAAACATTAATCATATAGATATGATTTTTCATTGAAAACTTAATTGAACCAAATAAACAAACGCTAACCATAACGAGTGCCAACTCCCTGGCATCTAGCAGAGAATTCCAAAGTTTCTCTCACAGTCATTTCTCCGATATGTAAATCGTGCTGACTAATATAAGCAGCAGTTCTTTGCGGCACAAACTCATTCATTTCATGTCCATTATACGTCACCTTCCCACTAGCCTGATTTCCGGGGAAAAACAAATACACAATTAGGCAAGTTACAAGATAATTCTATGTCATCACGAGTTATACTACAATCGATAGTGTAAAAGAATTTTTACACGATCAGGTCACTTAGAGATAGTTAAACTTAAATGTTTCTAATACAAACATCAATTAGTAACATTGACAAATATGGTAACTAATCTGCTATCTTCACATGTAGTCAGTATATATAACTTAAATCTGTTCGATATTTAGTACAAAATGAACTTACTTTAAGTTCAGTGTCAAGTTTTCCAGCCAAAGCTAATAAGAGAGTAGTTTTGCCAGAACCAGGAGGACCTAAAAGCAAAGTCAATCTGCAAGGTTTGATGATACCGCTCATGTCATCAAGAATAGTGAGTTTCCTCTTTCGATTTGGTACGATATGGAGAGAAGTCAACATTGGCTATAAACACGAATAAAAAAAATGATGTTAGTTTCAAACATTTTCTTCAATCAGATGAGTTTCGAGATATGGAAATCAAGATTTTGGTTCTGATTTTTACCTCGATAAAATTAGTCACAAAGTTGATAAATGTAGGCAAAGCACTGCTTCCTACATATGCATCTGCCTCAATTTTTAGATGTTCATATCTTACTTCAATTGTTGGCAAATCAAGCCCAACTCTGTAGAAAGTAAAAATATGTCAAACTACTAAATTTTTTAAATAAATAAAGAGTCGAATCAATGATTAAAGAGAGTGTGATCTTATTACTCTCTCTATCTCATTTTTATGTGATCGAACACTTTTCTATGACATCTTTCGATATTTAATTATAAAGTTCTCAATCCGAACTTAAAAAGTTCAAATCTTGAATATGCCTCTAAACCGAGCTATGAAAATGAAGGAGTATATGCAAGGGCAGACATAGTGAATAAGCTATGGGTACATCTGATCTTAGTAGCTTCGGTTTAAATCCTATATACACACTAAAAATACCCACCGAAAAGCTCAAGTAACATATTTTAACCACCAAAAAGCACAAGTAACACATTTTTACCACAGTAACTTAGACAAGACGTTATAAAGTTCAAATCTTGATTCTTCCCTCCGAACCAAACTAAACTAAACCACCATAAAGCACAACATATTTTGACCACCAAAATGCATAAGTAACACATTTTAACCACCAAAAATCGCAAGTAACACATTTTTTACCATAGTAACTTAGACAGAACACGATAAAGTTTAAATCTTGAATCTACCCTCCGAACCAAACTAAACTAAACCACCCGAGAATTCGCCTTAGCTCCACCTCAAACACACATATAAACAAAAAAGACTCATTCTTTCACAACCCCTCCTAACCAAACCAAACTAAACCAACATAACTCGTCTTAAATCGCCTCAAACACACAAATACACAATAAAGACTCAATCTTTCACAACCCCTCCTAACCAAACCAAACTAAACCAACAGAACTCGTCTTAAATCCGCCTCAAACACACAAATAAACAATAAAGACTCAATCTTTCACAACCCCTCCTAACCAAACCAAACTAAACCAACATAACTCGTCTTAAATCCGCCTCAAACACACAAATACACAATAAAGATTCAATCTTTCACAACCCCTCCTAACCAAACCAAACTGAACCAACATAACTCGTCTTAAATCCGCCTCAAACACACAATAAATAAACTCGTCTTAAATCCGCCTCAAACACACAATAAATATTCAATCTTTTCACATTACCTATCAATTCTATCTCTGAGTTTCAACAAAAAACTTCTCATTATCTTCATCAGCAACTTTAACAAGTCTATCAACCAAATCTTTACTTTGTTGATTTCCAAGATCATGTATATCAACTTCATTAGCTCCAAATAAAAGTCCTTTTCTTAAACGATCAAAAGTTGGTAGCTTTTCAAGTGCAGCCCATTTAAGTGCTTCTTCATCATCTTCATCTCTTGATGAACGATTAAATATATTATTATTTCTAAATATTGAATTACTATCTGATCCAAAACTTCCTCTAAAACTTCCTTTTACACTTCCTCTTAAACTACTACCTCTCAAATTACCAAAATCTATTGGTTCCATATTTTTTTTCTTGGACCAATCAAAATACTACACTATGTTTTTTTTCCTCCTTTGTAATATTTTTTTTTGTGGGGTGAATTTTTTTGTGTTTTTAGAGATACACAGAAAAAAATCTTGAGTTTTCTTGGATTTTTGTGGAAATGAAAGAGTTGAATGCAATGGTGTAATAGGCTTAAGGGGATTATATAACATGCAGTATGGGAAAATGGTGTGCTGTTTGAATGGATTTTTTTAAAAAAAAAGTATTCTTTGAAAAGATACGTTGAAAGATATTTGGTCTCATACGTGACTTATTACACGTAGAATGTCAATTAGGATACGAATTGTTGCATAAGATGTCATGTAAGACGTATGTGTCTATTGGTTAAGTGCTTACTTGTGTATGCCCAATATTTGATGACATAATATCAGTTGAAATCAAGTTAAATTACACATTTATGTATTAAGCAATAGTAATTCCAAATTGCCACATTGGTTTTTGGTTTTCGATCGGGAACCGACTAAATCTGAATTTTCTCATTTTAAGGCTCATTTGGGGACGGTGTCCCTAATAGGATTTTTTTGATTCTTAGTTACTTGAACTCGAGACGTCTAATCAAGGGCTCATTTAGACATGTGATATAGAATCATGATTTGAAATCAGATAATTGATATGGAATTGAAAATTTATTTGGACATGCAATTTGAATTTTTAAAATTGTAATTTTCTCAATAAATTTACAAATTCTTATATTGTCTTTTCAAATTAGCAAACTATGTAAGGCATCATATTGATAAAGCATATCTCCATGTTCATTTCTTATAAATAAATATTTGTGATTACAATCTTTCAAATATACATAATTTTATAACGATTCACTAGTCCACAACAATAGTACCTAATTATTCTCTAATATACTTTACATCATACACAGACAATCTCTTCACGCTAAGTATGAGTCTTTTTTTCGGCAAAAAATTATAATAACAAGTCTTATTTCTTTTGCAAAATATTACACTTCTAAAAAATTTAAATCGCGAGTTGAAATCTCAAATTAGATATTTAAGTATGAGTTTAAAATTATAATCCTATATCGTATGTCCAAAGTTCAAACGTCTATTAAGGAACTAAGAATTTCAATCATTTTGTTACAACTCATGTCGTTGAATAAAATAATTCTAATTATGGGCTGTGATGAGAACGTGTATTATGGCCTATCCTATTTGGCCTTTCAAGAATACCAGCTGTTAATTGTATTTAATAAAGGTTGTCTCATTTATTATCTTTGCTTCTAGAAATAATAAAAAAAATTCCAGTAGCAACTTTAAGTTAATAATATACAATAATAATTAAAATTTTAAAATTAGTATTTTAATATATAATATTTAAATATAAACTCAATTATTATTATTATCATATATTAATTGCTACAAATATCATAAATTTAAAATTATCCACCTCACTTCTATACATTTAAAAAATTCTATTTTAAATTGATTAGAAGACGAGCAAAATCAAAAGCAACGCAAAAGGATTTTGTAAGACTTTCTATTTGAGTAAAGTTTCTAGAATGTCAACACAACTTTTATTTTATTGTATTAAATTAAGTAAACTACTTTTTACAAAGTAAAGTTGAGCTAGTTTTTTGCTAAAACTTGGTTGTAATTCAGTAATTTTAGTCTAGTAAAATAAAAATAAATGCTCCCATAAAATTAACTTGATTTTTTATTTGGTGTGTGTGCGATATCTATATTAATATTTGACTGATTTGAATTCACGTCGTGTATGGCTTTAAGCCTTTACTCAGGAGAAAGCACTTCCTATAAAAAATAATTTGAAATCAAGGTATTTAATTAAGGAAGAAGTATATTCATCCGCTTATCACATTTTTTTAATGATAAATTTATTTGTGGATATAAAAGTGAAGTATTTGTTTATTTCTAGTTTGGGCTGAGCTTGTTTGACTGGCTTTAATTTGTCAAATCTCATTGACTATAACAAATAAATAAATTAGAAGATAAGTAAAAGATTTTGTAAGACTTGCTATTGGTTGAGGAAAGTTTCTAGAACTTTAATTTAATTATGGATAAGTAAAGTTGAGTTAATTTATTGTTTACAAATTATTGTAATTTAATAGTTTAGTTTAGTGCAATAAAAATAAGAAAAAGTGAAATTATTTTTTCAAAAAAATGTTAAGAGGTGTGAAATATACATAATAAAAAAATATATTTTAAAAAAAATCATAGCATAGTCTTTAGCACAATTATTTGAAAATTGGATAAATTTTACTAAAGTCGTTCACATTTAAAGATCGATCCAGCTTATTTAATTTGACCATACAATTATTTCAGTGAGTCAAATAATTGAGACTTTTTTTATTCTTATACTATAATATTTATTTATACTGCCGTCCTTTTTATTTATTTTTTAATTTGTTAGATATTATTTAATTTAAGGGCAAACAGACTTCTAGAAGTTATAAATAATTTAATTGTTAGAAAATCATGATATCATTAAACACCGCGGTGGATCTACTACATCAACTACGGAGTTATCGATATACGACAATTTAATAGCTTTTATTTATACAAAAAATTTAAGATTATTATATAAATTTATAATTTTTTAATTATAAATTTATCATTAACTATTTAATTCTTAAAAAACTAGAAATACCAAAAGAAATAGATGGTATTCTTTCCCGTAATTACTAAAGTAGTAGTAATAACTAATAAGCAATGAGTTATTACTTAAAAAATAAAATTTCGCCAATCGAAAAATTACACAACACAACAAAAATAAAATAACTCAATTTTACTTGAAATCTTTTTATTAGAATTATTGACTCCGCCGCTATAATTAATACTCGTGAAAGAGGGAGAACTTCTCGAAGTATTGACCATCAAATTCAATTATTGACCTTATCTATTTTCTAAATTAATAGCCTATATAGAGTATTTAGTTCTACCTTAGGTGTTTTTCAATTACGTAAATATTTCTTTTTACTTTTTAGGGTATCGTTTAAATTATATCTTTATTTCTAAATTTTTAAAAATATAATCTTTAGGAAATATTTCTTTAATATTAGATTCTGGTCTAGCATTTGCTCATATATTGTTCAATTATATCCTCTAATGTTTGAAATATCATATCAAATTTTAAATCATACATGGTTTAACTTCAATATTTTCTCATAATATTAAGAATCTTTAGATCATAGTCTAAAATGTGGTTCATTACAAAGACAAATAAAGATCTTTACTTACGGGCCTTTTGGACCAAACAGTTGTGTAAATGAATTTCCTTTATCAGAAGAATTTTCTTGTTTAAATTCAGGGCTCCAACACGATCTCATCTCACTACGAATGTGTTTATAGTGAATCTATAGATAAAGACACAATAACAAGAATATAGTAAACTAAAATTACTGAATTCTGACGAACTTGTAGGTGAAGTCTAGCTCCGTCTTCGCACTTCATTTGTACATATTACGTTTTCCAAGAATATTTTGGTGAAATCTTGCATTTAGTAATTAGGTGATTTTCTCAGTTTTTCGTGTGTTTTTGCCCATGAATATTTTGATGATATAGCTTCCGGACAATTTCTTTGCAAAACATTACGGAACCCTCTGTAGGGAGTTGTGGGAGTAGTACGTACATTCTCACCATTTTTATAGTTTATTTTGGCATTTAAGGACCAATTTACAGAAATAAGGCGATATTCTCATTTTTCATGTGTGTTAGCCCATTAATATTTTGGTGTTATGGATTCCAGATGAAATCTTTACGGAAACTTACGGAGGGAGTTTGGGGAGCAGTATGTACATACTATTTTTAGAGGTCATTTTGGACATTTAGGGGGCAATTTCCATGAATTAGGCGATTTTCTCAGTTTTTCGTATGTTTTAGCCCTTTAATATTTTGGTGATATGACCTCTGGATGATTTCTTTGTCAAACCTTAACGGAACCCTCTATAGAGTGTTGGGGAGCGGTACATACAACCTCACCCATGGTAACAATCTGTTTTTGGCATTTAGGGGCCAATTCACATGAATTAGGTGATTTTCACAAATTTTCGTGTGTGTTAGCCCATAGATATAATGATGATATGGTTTCAGGACGATATCTCTGTGAAACCTTTACACAACCCTTCATAGGGAGTTGTGGGAGCAATACGTACAGTTTTACCATATTTAGAGTTCATTTTGGATCTTTAGATGCCAATTTACAGGAATTAGGTGATTTTCTTAGTTTTTGATATGCGTTAGCACATGAAAATTTGTGTGATATGGCTTCGGGGTGATTTCTTTGCGAAACCTTTATGGAACCCTCTATTGAGAGTTGGGGGAGTATTACATACATTCTCGTCATTTTTAAAGTTCATTTTGTGCATTTAAAGGCCAATTTACACGAATTATGCAATTTTCTCAGTTTTTTGTGTGTGTTAGCCCATGAATATTAATTTGGTGATATGACTTTTGCATGATTTCTTAGAGAAACCTCTACGGAACCCGGAGTTGGGGGAGTAGTACGTACAATTTCTTTATTTTTAGAGTCCATTTTGGGCAAGTAGGGGCCAATTTACAAAAAATAGGGAATTTTCTTAGTTTTTCATGTGTTATCCCATGAATATTTTGGTGATATGACTTTCGGATGATTTCTTTATGAAACCTTTACGGAATATAGGGTTTAAGGTTTAGGGTTCAGGGATTAGGGTTCAGGGTTTAAGGTTTAGGGTTTAGGGCTTAGAGTTTAGGGTTTAGAGATTTAGGGGTTTAGGGTTTATGGTTGAGTTTATGGTTCGGAAGCCATATCACCAAAAAAATCATGGGAAAAATTGAGAAAATCTTCTAATTCCTATTGAGTGACCCGTAAATGCTAAAAAATGGCATTGATCATGGTGAGGCTATTGGAATTGTTTCCAAGGTCCTTACTAATGGTTTCGTAAAGGTTTCAGAAAAAAATGTCTGGAAGCCATATCACCAAAAAAAATCCATGGGCGTTTACACACGAAAATCTTAGA